GAGCTGCTCCTGGCTCACTGGGGAGAGGCCTATTTTTCATTCCTGTGCCAAGCCTGAGCTGGCAGCCGCTGGCAAGTCTGCGATGTCTCCCTAAGCAGCTCCAGCTTTAGGAATTAATTCCACTGAACAGATTGCTCAGGAAGCTTCAAGGTCATCTGGAAATGGCAGTTCCTACATTAGGACTACACGTCCAGGTATATGGGCTGGAAATTTCCAAGCCCACAAGAACCCTAGAACACCAGAGTCCTGCAGAGGCTCTTAGTGGCCAACACTGAGGGTGCTGGCTCCGATTAGCCCCTTGGGGCTGGTTCTCTGCAGGACTTTTGAGGGCAGGTAGACATGCCCCTGGCCTATACCCCGCAGCCCCCACAGTTGGCCAGATTCAGTGGCCTGCCACTTTCTAAACAAAAATCCCAGCAGGAAGGGATGGGTGGGTTCTTCCCACTCCAGGAGGGTGCTGAGAGCAGAGCCCTCTGCGTCCCACTGGGCCGAGGCCCTGGCCCTCCTGGCCTCCGCACCTCATCTGACCACTTTCTGGTGGACAGAATGGCCCAGTCCTTTGGCTCTGGCAGCCTCCCCAAGCCTCAAGATCACAGCTGGCCTGAGGCAAGGAGCCCTCCCTGTCTATGAGCAGAGATACAGGATGCTTCTAAGCTGCAGGTCTGAGCCAGAGGGAAGCTGTGCCTTGGAGAGGAGCAATTTCCCAATCATAACATGGGAAGGAGCATCAGCAATTAGTGGTCAGAGAAATGAAAGGGAAGACACAGCATGGCAGATGCCCCCTTCCTGTTGCTTAGATGTAACTGGGTTATTACCTGAGTGCCCTGGGGCCCGCATTGAGAGAGCTCCACTGAGCACTCTTCTGCTGGCCCAGGGCTTGCCTCTTAAAGTGACAGAAGCCCGGCAGGAAGTATGGGTAGCTTTAGGAGCAAGTGGACCTGGGCTGGGTGGCAGCTCGATGTTGATTGGCCCTGGTACCTGGGGCGAGAACGTGGCCTTCCTGAGCTGTGTCTACCCTATCTATCTAAAGCAGTAGTAATAGGAGATGGGTTAGATACAGTGCCCAGCATGGTGCCCGGCGGAGAACAACCCTCCAGTTGGAGGAAGAAACAGCACAGGGCTGATGCTGCAGTGGCAGAGCCTGGTGGGACCTGAGTTAGATTCTTCACCTGCAACCAAGAAAGCACATTGGCTCACCGCTCGTCACCCATTTGCCAGAGGCATGCAGCACGTGTCTCCCTGCCAGGAGAGCCACTCAGACACCTGTCATGTGTATTCTGCATCTTGACACACCAAGAAAGCCATGCCAGGAAGGTGTGTGATGAGCTCTGGCTGTGATCTCTCCAGGCTGCTGCTCATAGCCGCCGCCCAGAAACCTCCCTCCCCGCCTGGTTACGCTGGAGTGTTCCAGGGTGAGCGCAGGCTGGTAACCTCCCTCAGAGAAAGCAAGCAGGAGCTCATTCGACCTCATAGCCGCAGCCCAGAAACCTCCCTCCCCGCGTGGTTATGCTGGAGTGTTGCAGGGTGAGCGCAGGCTGGTAGCCTCCCTCAGAGAAAGCGGGCAGGAGCTCATTTGACCTTATGTCCTACTGAGTACAGCCTGGCTGAGTGGCCTTGCATTTGTTCTGCTGATTGGGAAGCAAGGATGTGGAGTTGTCAGATTCCCTCTTAAGGAGGTCCAGGGCGGTCCAGAGTACTGTCCTAGAAGATGGGCATGATTACTTGCCACCCCCAGCTGGACTCCACACCCGGAAGCACTTCAGGCAGGCACGAGGAGTCAGGAGGCATGGTTCTGCAGTGGCCAGCTACGCTCGGCTGCTTGGCCACCCCAGAACCATCTCTGGCAGATGCGGTCAAGGACCTGGTCATATGCAGGAACTCCAGCCCGGACACATGTTTGGATATTCATAAGACAAGAAACATAAGGTGTTTCTGTTGTCTTCTTGAGAACGTAGAGCTGACCCTGAAGCCTGCTGTCCCTAGTCAGGGTCGGGCAGCCCTCTGTACCTGAGGCAGGATGGCCTCCACCTCCTCCTTGCCCAGGAGAGCTCCCTAAACTGCCTCCCCCTCCCAGAGCTGGGGGCCTCCTTCCTCCACCTCCCACTGAAGGAGGCTCCACAGGGCTCACACACTACCCTGGGCCATGGGTCTCCTTGGCTGTCACCCCAACCACGTGCTCTCCTGGGTGGACATCCCAGCTCCCCTGTGGGGGTCTTATGGGTACAAGTGGCTCAGGGAAGTCAGTCTGTCTGCCGTCACACTGGCTGGTTCTGCTGACAGCCACCCTGCTGCCCCCTCGCCCATTGGTGAAGCAGGGCCCTGCGAGCAGGCGGGGCTACCTCATGAGTGACACTGCCTAAAGGGAGGGCAAGGCTTTACTGGGAGATTCAGGATGAGATTTGAAAGAGCAGAGGACCATAACACATTCCTCAGCAGGAAGACTAAACATTGTAAAGATGTCAGGCCTCTCCACACTCTCTAAGAGAGGTAATGCAAATGCAATTTGACTTCTAAAGGAAATGAAGAAATTGGTTTTGAAATTCATCAAAAATAGTACAGGATAAGATTGTCAGGAAACATACTAAAAGCAAGAGCAATGAGGGAAAGCTCTGACTCTACCCACTAAAACATGATTTGGGAGTCACAGAAATGAAAACAGTGTGGGGCTGATGCAGAAATTAGATATTGCGGCTCGTTGGAAAATAGTGCAAGGCCCTTGCTTCAGGTAATATTCACTCTGTGATGGAGGCAGTGCCGTACAAGATTGAGGCGAGGGAGGACGCGCTAGTTTGCGTTTAGCAAAGTAGGAGGAATCCATCACTCCCTGCTGAGATAAAGTAGTCAACTACTTAAAAGAGGGAAAATTACAATAAATAGAATTGAACATGTGTCAGCTCTTTGAAAGGATAACTTTCTAGGTTTTGAAGTGGCAAAAAAAAAAAAAATCATCAAAGATCAACAAATTTGATTTTTCAACTTAAAACTTTTCAAAGGAAAGAATCCTGGAAGTCAAAGAATGGGCTGGAAAGTTATGGTAGCAGATGACTAGCAGTCTTATGAAAGGCTCCTAAACAAAAGCATGGGAAATATTTAACCTCAATAGTTATTGAAGAAATGTAGATTTCAACAGGAGGGACATTCTGCATGTATGACATGAGCAGAAATAGAGTCACGATAGAAGGGGGCAGGTGACCAACCACAGAAACTGCTAATGGCTGAAGAAGTGGTGCAGCCTTGGAGGATGGAATTTGCAAAATGTTTGGGGAATGCTAAAGAGAGTCCTTACACAGTGATCCTACCCTGAGGGGATCTGCCCAAGGGGAGAATCTCCAAATGGTTGTCCAGCCTGTTCCACTGAGCCGCTCCCAGGGCCACAAAAAGGAACCCGTGGGGGACGCTGGACTCCCCTTCCCCCTCCTCGAAGAAGTTCCTTTTTGTCTGTTTATACATAGACTGTGTGGGTGTTCTCAGTAAGATTTCATTTAACCAAAGGTTTTCAGGGATACAAAAAAGATTAGAAATCCACTGATGTAAAGAACAAAGAGGCGCTTTCTGGAAAGATGTTCATGTCTGTGTGATTCAGAACAGCAGAGAGATTTGATGTGACCTAAATGTCTCTCCCCGAAGGGAGAGGTTGAGAAGGTGTCCGTGTCCGTTGGATGAGAGAGTACACGCGTCGCTTATGGAGGTGCGCAGCTTGGAAACATGATGATGATAAAATAACTGGGACCAATGGGTACACCCCAACCAAGGAAAACTGAGATGACAGCTGGGCACAGCCTGGGGCAAGCAGGGACAGTGGGGTCAGGGCCTTGGTCAGGGACAGGGCTGTGAGCAATTAAAACATCTGTCATAGGCCGGGCGCAGTGGCTCAAGCCTGTAATCCCAGCACTGTGGGAGGCCGAGGCGGGTGGATCACGAGGTCAAGAGATCGAGACCATCCTGGTCAACATGGTGAAACCCCGTCTCTACTAAAAATACAAAAAATTAGCTGGGCATGGTGGCACTTGCCTATAATCCCAGCGACCCAGGAGGCTGGGGCAGGAGAATTGCCTGAACCCGGGAGGTGGAGGTTGCGGTGAGCCGAAATTGCACCATTGCACTCCAGCCTGGGTAACAAGAGTGAAACTCCGTCTCAAAAAAAAAAAAAAAAAAAAAAAAAAAAACAAAACAAAACAAAAAACATCTGTCATAATCATTCTGATAGTAATACCATCAATGACATTTCTTTAGGTTAAAAAAAAAGACTGGGCGTTCACACCTATAATCCCAGCACTTTGGGAGGCCAGGTGGGCGGATCACTTGAGGTCAGGAGCTCAAGGTCAGCCTGGTCAACGTGGTAAAACCCTAATCTCTACTAACAATACAAAAATTAGCTGGGCATGGTGATGCACACCTATAATCCCAGCTACCACGGAGGCTGAGGCAGGAGAATTAATTGCTTGAGCCCAGGAGGCGGAGGTTGCAGTGAGCCGAGATCACGTCACTGCACTCCAACCTGGGTGACAGAACGAGACTCCATCTCAAAAAAAATGCAGACTACTGGCCAGGTATGGTGGCTAACACCTGTAATACCAGCACTTTGGGAAGCCAAGGCAGGCAGATCACCTGAGGTCGGGAGTTTGAGACCAGCCTGACCAACATGGAGAAACCCTGTCTTTAAAAAAAAAAAAATTCAAAAAAAAAAAAAATGCAGACTGCAGACTTCCGATTAGTTCATTGATGGCCCTTAAGTTTTCTTCAGATGAACCGTATGAAGTTGCCATTTTTATATTCAAAACATGGCTGAATATCAGCAATTTCACATCAGTCAGCTCAGCTTGGGGACCATTTTGACTGTTGCCCGTGAACGCAGGAAGTACTTGAGAACTCACTGTGGGCCCAGCCCAGTGGTGATACATTCCCAGCTCCAAGGAACTTACTGGAAACTCAAGGACAAGTAGGAGCGCAGAGCTCCTGGAGCCTCCATGGCTGACTGTCTCTCTCTCTGACCCCTCCAGGCCCTGATCCTTCACCAGCTGGGCCGCTACAGTCTGGCAGAGAAGATCCTCCGGGACGCGGTGCAGGTGAACTCGACAGCCCATGAGGTCTGGAATGGGCTGGGCGAGGTTCTCCAAGCTCAGGGCAATGACGCGGCGGCCACCGAGTGCTTCCTGACAGCCTTGGAGCTGGAGGCCAGCAGCCCCGCCGTGCCCTTCACCATTATCCCCCGCGTGCTCTGAGCAGGCGCCTGCCAGCCTCACCTGCTGCTTAGGCCTTGGAGGCCCTGCCAGGTGCCAGGGCTCGTCCCATCACCCCACGGGGATGAATCTGCCGCACTGAGGCCACGGACGAGTGTTCGGATGGGCCACGGTGAACCAATCAAACCAACCCCGAGTCATCGCTCTCACCACGTGCGTTTCTCTTGTTTTTTTGCCAGCCCAATGATAGTTTCTGAACCTACTGTCATTGTTCAAAATGGATTATGTGCCATATTTTGTTAGTTGACATCTGAGTTTTAAGTAAAATGATTATGCAATTAATCAGCAAGTGTAGAAGAATATATTCAAAGTTAAAATTCAGTGGCAGAACAGATTATTTTTATCAGAGCTGTAAAGAAAGCAACTGTCTTCTCCCCACATCCCTCCTGCCCCACCTTGGCCCAGAAACCAAATGTGAACCATCCGTTTCCCATCTCAGCACCAGTCCCCGTCGGGACACCAGCTGACAAGTTCTTGGTTTTACTGTCAATAATTGTACCATGTGATCAATTACTGTCCTCACTTAGAACAAAGCCTGAGTCCAAGAATATTTATATTTTACCAATATATGCCTGTTACAAGAGAAGGAAATATGAGTTATTTAAGTTTAACTTTTTTATGTGAATTCAGAGTTTATTTATCGATGGAAATATGTACAAAGAAGCTTCAAATGGAATATTTACCGACATTCCTTATACATGACAGACACTTGGTTACATGGGAAGATGATGTTAATAATAAAATGATTTTTAAATGGACTCATAGCCTGTGTGATTCGTAAAAGTTCACAGACTTGAGAAAGGCTTAGTTCCTGCGGTGGGGAGTGGTCTGTACCTGAGGGCCAACTCTGGACATGTCAGCCCTTGGCACTAGGAGGCCCAGCCTCTCTCTCCCCATTTATTTTTATTTTTATTTTTTGGAGACAGGGTCTCACTCTGTTGCCCAGGCTGGAGTGCAGTAGCATGATCACTGTTCACTGCAGCCTCAACTTCCCAGGTTCGGGTGATCTTCCCACCTCAGCCTCCCGAGTAGCTGGGACCACAGGCGCGCAACTACTACGTCTGGCTAATTTTATTTTTGTTTTTGTAGAAAGAGGATCTCACTATGTTACCCAGGCTGGTCTTGAACTCCTGGGCTCAAGCAGTCCTCCCACCTCGGCCTCCTAAAGTGCTGGTGTGAGCCACCATGCCCGGCCCTTTCCTCACTTGTAATTTGCAGATGATCCTTGTGGTAGGAACGTGTTTCCTGAGTCCTCAGCACCCAGGCCTCCTTTTTGCAGTAGCAGGCCTGGTTTTGGTTTGGGAATTTGCCTTAGCTCTCCCCCAATGGGGCTTTGGAATTGGAGCATGCGATTCAGGCCTGCCCAAGCAGGCTCCTGCACTCATGGGCACAGAGGGTCCAGACTGAGCCTGTGACCCGAAGCGGTCCAGTCAGCGCGGGAGCTGCCGGGAAGGCTGTCATTCTTTCCTGCTGCCCTTCAAGCTGAGAGGTGAGGCTGGAATGGCAGTAGCTCTCTTGCCACCATGAGGAGAAGACGTAAAGGTGTTCGAGCCAAAGACCGAATCCCACAGAGTAGACAGCAAGACGAGGAACCAGAGAGAAACAGTAGTATCTGTAGTCCCTCGGGGGCAGCCATAGGGCGGCCCCACCTTTCCAGGACCCAGGGAAATATGGAGTGCTGAGCTCTGACCTTAGGTGCCCTGAAGCCTAGAGGACTGCATTCAAGCTGGGTACTACCTCCCTGACTCACTGAGGCAGGTGGGCTGGGGGCAGCCAAGGAGGGAAAGACAGTAGGTGGGAGCCCCTGTTTTCGCACTGACCCTGCCAGGTGGCACATGTGGCTTTGTGTGGTCATAAGTCATGGAATTTGCAATGTAGGACCCAGGGCAGAGGCTCGGTGTGGTGGCAACTTGCCCTGATGGAAGGTGCAGGACTGGGCTCTGCCTTCCCATGCAGGAGTGTGGCGCAAGGTCCAGCAGCTCAGGACCAGGAAGGGAGGAGGCTGGGGCCACCAACGCGGATGGTGCAGGCGCCATGCCAGACCCTCTGCGCCACGCTCTCACCTCCGAGACTCCCGTGCACATCAGCTCTGCAGGGCGCTGGGGCTGGCTCCCGTGTGCCTCCCCAGTACTCCCCATGGTCTTCATCTCCCTTGGGAGAACCACCCACGCTCCACCAACATGGCTCAAGAATGGACACATGGGCCAGCCCTAACCACCAGAGCCCTCCAGCTCCCCAGGGTCAGTGACTGGTTCGGGTTTGGGCATGTGACCCATGCTTGGCCAATGAGAAGCCCCCCCCCCCAGGACTTTTTTTATGAAAGTATTAGAAAACAAAGCCTCTTTCTGCTGGGTTTGATGTCCTAATAGGATTCCTGTGGGGGCTGTGGGTGCCATTTAATGTTGTATGGGGTGGCCTACCTGAGAATGATGTCAACATAGAAAAACAGAGTGAGAAGGTGGAGAGAGAGCCAGGCTCAGGGTCACCGCTGGAGCACTGGAGCCCAAGATTTTTCCATCATAGGAGCCCACATGGTTTCCCGTCTTGCTTAGCGCAAGCGCAGGGGTTTCCATCACCGCTACCTAAAAGGTGCCCAAGAAACACAGGCAAGTCCCGTGGTCCCCGGCACGCCCCACTTGGACGCACTTCCAAACCCCTCAGTCCCCTTCGTTCATCCCACTCACCCACCTCATACACTGTTTTCCAGGAAATCTTGTCCTTTCTACCCAAATCGCATCTCAAATCTCCCATTCACTTTCATCCCCAGAACCTTGGCCCCAGCCCCACTCAGTCCAGCGTCTGCCCAGCTCTCTTAGAAGGGAGGATTGGGTTGGGGCTCTTCCTCCATAAACCCCGATGGCTTCTTAAGCTCTGGCCTGGAACTGGACTCTGTCTAGGCCCCCTGTGCATCTGGCCTGCCTCTCCTTCCCCCAGCTCTTTTGTGGCTCTGACTTTCTTCCTAGTCTTCTGACCTGCTGAGTCTTTCACAGCTAAGGACTTTCATCCATCCGTCCACCTCCATCCACCCGTTCATCCACTCACCCAGCCACCCACCCATCCATCCACCCAGCCACCCACCTATCCAACCATTCACCCAACCATCCAACCATACACCACCCACCCAACCATCCATCAAACCACCCACTCACCCACCCGCCCAACCATCCATCCAACCACCCACCCACCCACCTAACCACCCATCCATCCACCTACCCACCCAACCACCCACCTACCCAACCACCCACCCACCCACCCATCCACCTACCCAACCATGCACCCACCCACCCATGCATCCATCCACCCACCACCCAACCATCCACCCACCCACCTATGCATCCATCCATCCACCCACCCACCCAACCCTCTGTCCATCTACCCATGTATCCATCCATCCACCCACCCACCTGTCCACCCACCCATCCATCCATCCACCCACCCAGCCATCCAACCATCCACGCACCCACCCAACCATCCATCCACCCACCCACCCGTCCACCCACCCATCTGTCCATCCACCCATCTATCCACCCATCCATCGGTTCATTAACAGATGAGAACGCTAAGAGGGCAGGACACCTGCCTGGAGTCACTGTGGAATTACCTGGCAGGACTGAGATTGAGATGGTCCTGAGGGATAAACCTTTTTAAGGTGCCCAGGTCTGCCCAATGGAGGCGTTTTTTGGACAGTGAGATGCGGGTGATGCCCCGTTTGATTCCAGGACTAGTGCTGACCCTAACTTAGGCAAGGCGTTCCTGTTCCCTAGTCTTAGTCTCCTCATCTGTACAATTTAATTCATTCATTCACTCATTCATTCATCCAACACATATCTATTGAGTGCTCACAACATTCCAGATGCTTATTACAAGCAGTAAGGCCACAGCAGTGCATGACACAGATGCCACATCCACTTAAGACCCACCTAAGGGCCTTTGTGGTCATCGCCCCACCTCGAGAGCCTTTGTTCAATCACATCTGCTTGCCCCATCTGTCACGGAAGGTGACATAGTCACAGGTTCCAGGGCTCAGGACGTGGACGTCTTTGGGGGCGGGGGAGCACATTATTCTCCAGGCCACAGCATGGGAGCTGGGAGGCTGTCAGGCTCCTGGTATCACACAGGTGAGCCACCATGGTGCTTAGACCAAGGGGCATGGAGGAAGTGGCAAGAGGCCCTCAACTGTGAAGATTCTGCAGACAGAGCCAGAAGAGTTTGCTCACACATGGAGCTGGGTGTATGGGAGGGGAGACGCCAGGGATGAGGGTGAGGGTCTTGTCCCGAGCTATGGGAAGGATGGTGCTGATGACCATGAGACAGGAAGAGTAGGTTGGGGAGGAGAGGGGAAGGGGGTGTCTGCTTTCAGGCAGGTTGAATACAAGATGCCTGTGAAGCTTCCAAGAGGGAGGCAGCTGTCTAGGCAGGAGCCCAGGCAGGAGCCTGAGATGAGGCAAGGGTGTGGGAGGTGTCGGGGATGTGGGGCTGGGGGCCATGGGCCTGACAGGCGCCTCAGGACAAGTATAGACAAAGAGGAAGAGGTCAGGGCTGAATTCCGGGGCTGGCTGGTTTACAGGCTGGGAAATGAAGAGAATGTGAAAGAAGGCACAGGAGCAGCTGTGAAGGAGGCGGAGAGCAGGCAGGGTGAGCTTCCCAGAAGAGGCGGGTGGGCTCTCTCAATGCCCGGAGGCCCCGGCGGGGTGGCCTGAGAGCTGACCGTGGGCCTGGCGGTGTACAGGTTGGCAGTGACCTTCGTCAGAGCTGTGCTGGGGGTGGCATTTTGCTCCCCAGATTCATAGGGTGGAGCCCCCACCCCAGTATGACTATATTTGGAGACAGGACCCTAAAGGAAGTAATTCAGGTGACATGAGGTCATCAGGAGGGCCCGGACCCTGGAGGCTTGGCATCCTCACCAGAAGAGACTCCTAAGTATAAGTGAGCTCACGCTCAGCCACGCCAGGACACATGGAGAAGGTGCCACCCGCAAGCCAGGAGGGAGCCTCGCAGGAACCCAGACGGGCCGGAACCTTCACTTTGTTCCTTGAGTCTCCAGGACTTGGAGAAATTAAGTTCATGGTTGAAGCCACCTGTCCTTGGTGTTTTTCTTACGGCAGCCCAACCCAACTAGGGTGAGGTCCAGCCAGGCTGGAGTGGGCTCAAGCGGGAGGAAACAGGGAAGTCTCTTTCGAGAGCGTTGCTGCAGAGGGCAGCTGAGGGCGCAGGGTGGGAAGGGGCTGTGTGGAGGGCGGGCCTCAAGGAGCACTTTGTGTTTGCAGCTGGGCAGGCAGCCGGAGGAGGGAAAGCGGGAAGCTGAGTGGGGCTGGGGCTGCCTCAGCTGGGGGCCCGGTGGTTCTGCAGAGCAGCAGCAGGAGGGAGGCAGAGGCCTGGTTACCCCCAAACCAGGGAGCCCTGGGGAAGCGACACCCACTCCTCAGTGAGCAGGGAGCCAGCTTCAAGCAGGGTGGGATGGCAAATGGACCAGGGAGGGAGGGAGGAGGCCCTTCTATGCAGGAGCCACCACACCCAGCCAGAAGGATCTCAGGACAGAGTCACGCTGGGGATCCCGGCAGGTGTGGCGGGGGCAGGCCGCTTCCCACCCCTGCCCCATTTGGGATCCAGGGCTTGTCTGCCTGTCTGTCTGTCTGTCCATCTGCCTCCTTCCAGATCCTGGGCCCTGGGCTGTGGCCAGGGCTCTACTCACACTCAGGGCTGGGTGGGGACCTCCCCAGGCAAGGGAGCGGGGGAACCGAGGCCTCTCGTTATCCTC